ACCCTTGAACCCTAAACCCTAAAGCTTCAACCTTAAGCCCAAGGCCAGTGTTACTATAAGGGAGACTAGAAGGGCCTTAAGCGGTACAGGGTGTAGGGTTTCTTTCGGGGGTGTATAGGGGCTACTAAAAAGGGCTCTATATGGGATTTATGGATATAGGGGCCTAACAATTAGAATAGGGGTTCCAATTAAAGGGGTCCCATAACGGGTTCTAGAAGGGGTCTATAACATATGGGTCTATGATTTACGGGCCTTCTGAATTAGAATAGGGTTCCTTTGGAGGGGTGTATAGGGGCTACTATAATGACACGGGCTGCTGCAGCAGGGGTTGCGGGTTCAGGCTAAGCCCCAGGCTTAGAAACTGTCAGCTTGAAGTGAGGATGTGCAGCAGAAGCCGCTTTTGGGGCAGCTGCCACAACACGGAACGCCTCGCCAAGACGAAGCAAGAAAGCACCAGGTTCTAAGTTACCCATGCTCTGCCGAAACATAAATTGCGAGATCAGGTCTCGCACCAAGAAACCCTCATGGGCATCCTGCCCATGGCCGGTCTTGCGAGGGACCCTTGGCACCACGAAGTCCTTCAAGGATTGCCACGCTCTATCCAGGGTCTGCGTTCCGCAGATGAGGTGTCGGGCACGAACACTTCTGGTCCATTCCTTGTTCTGATGGCAGACAGCATGCGATGTCATCCGGAGCTGCTGCGCAAGTGTCTGCCAAGCTCGGTTGCCATCGGAAAAAATTGTCGTAGAGGGGCGCTGGGCCAAAGGCACTTTGTGCAACAAGCCCGTCTGACGGATGCCTTCAAGACTTTCCGTCGGAGGACGGCTGCCACGAACAGTCACAGGCAAGTCTGGAATGGCCAGGACTGGGGGGCCACCCCGACGCATTACTCCCAACACCTGGTAGTGTGCAAAAAACACCTTGGGAATTACTTTGCCCGCACGGGCCAACTTCGCCGTCAATGCTTTGATCTGCGGCTGGAAGCGCTTGCAGGACGCTCGAGCCGCAAACTTTCCAAGGGATGTTCCATCCACTTCGACAAGGCCGGAGACCCTAGTCTTGGCCTTCCAGCTACGCCCTTGCGCGGCTTCGACCTCACGGAGCACGGCCAAGAAGTGGTCGGCCTGGGTTTCAGGGCTGAGACTTATTACATTTTCTTCTAGGAAATAGTAGTATTATTTGACATGAATACATTACATTAACCTTATATCATTACATAAAGATACATACAGATAGGGTAGAGGATTTAAGGAGCAGCCCATCGCCTGTGTCCTGCCAACATGGCACTGTTGCACCAAGTCCCCGCTGCGAGGAGCACGGTTGTAGGCCATTCCAGCGTATGCACGGAGCAAGCGAACCAGAGTCACAGCATCACACTTGAGTCCACAGAAGCGAGAGTGCTGGAGGAGGTACTGCATTTTTCCACAGGCCAGACACCTTGCGAGGTATGCGTTTCTAGCTTCATTTTGTTGTCACGGTTGAAGTAAGTTTGGGAAAAGCAAAGCATCAGCCTCCAGTGTGAGGGGTGATGCGTCGTCCGTGCAATCATCTTCAAGCGACGTGCAGAGCAGCGAACGCATTTCTTCATCGGCGGGATGAAGCCTCTGTCCACCAACCATTCCTCAGCTTCGGCATCCGTAGTCACAGGCTGCGTGAGCACTGGTTCGGTAGACTGTAGACTTCTTCCTCGCATGCTGCGGGGCCAAGGGCTGCGGATTAGGCGGGAAGAAAAGGTCTTGCACAGCCATCAGTCCTGCGCTGTTCTGCCGGAGACGGCTTGGAGACGCGCTTGCCCGTGTAAACCAAAGCTGCGGCCTTGCGCTTCTTCGCGCGAGAGTCCTGGGCTGAAGTGCGCTGCTTCTTCTCCACTCTGCCAGCGTTGCTTTTCTTCGAGGCAGTGCTGGTCGTCAGCACCTGCATCAAGGCGAAAGACAACTAGCATCTACCAACATGAAGGGTAACGCAGCAACAGAGTTTTGTCTTCAACGTCTTTGCATGCCTTCACTTGTTTCCTGAGTGAGCGGATCAACTTGGCAGCTGCTGAAGGGCAGGTCTCCAAGCGATGTCCGCTTTCTCCGCAAACCTTGCACCTGTGACAGCGCTGCTTGCCTTTGCATC